ATGTCAACTTCATGAAATATAATCCAATTATAACACAGAATGATTTTTTCAATACACAACACTGTAGCATATGTGCATATTATCCCATTCGGCAAACCTCGGCTGATTCCGTTGCCTAAATCAAATGAAGTACGAATCGGCCGAGGTGTGCCGAGTGGTGCTTAATCTAAAAATATGATAATGGGTGACGCAACCCAATGTAATATAGAAATTTTCAAAAGTTGTTTACATGTAAACATGTATATAGTTCAAGAACAAATTTTAAATTAATTCATACCAAACTATGTTTTAACATAACTTTTCCATCTACATGTGTATCCTATTTTAAAAAAAAAAACGTACGTTTCATGAGGGTGTGATTGTGTGTGTGTGTTTTTTTTTTCGGGGGGGGGGGGGGGGGGGGGGGGGGGGGGAGGCATTATTAACTTTAAAAAGGTATCGATTATGACCAAAACATTTTTAAAAATCTAATTCACACATAGGCGTCTGAACCGGGGGGGGGGGGGGGGGCTAGGGGGGCTTTAACCCCCAAACTTTTTTTTGCAAAAATAGACTTTTCTATGTATTGAAAATTGGGGTTTAACTTTTTTTTTGTTGGTTTAGCCCCCCCCCCCCCACTTTCAATTAGCCCCTGGGGCTCTGAGTCATAGATCACATAGTCACAGGGTCTGAGAATGTAATACTCAATGTGACGAATACATGCACTGTGTAAATTATAGAATTATTTTGACTTTTCCTTGGAAAGCCCAATATATACGAGTCAGTGTGTATTTAGAGGCAAACACCTTAGTGCGGGTATTACTGTCTCATGACAACATCTAGTTTAATATTCCAATGCTGTAAATTCCTTATTTGACGCAGATACAAAATATCGCGAAATTGCTAATAGACAGCAGATCGCGAGAAAAATAATTCGCAAGTGGGCGTTAAATTAAAGGAATTTTTACATGTACTTTAGCACCATGAAAATATAAGCGATTAACTTTCAAGTATTGATTTTATGTTTTATACTCCACCTTGCTCTCCATCATTTCTTGCTGAGTCTGTTCCAGTGTCCATAAAAGTAACCTGTTCTGTTCTTTAAGGTCTTTGCCATATTTCTCCAGAAGCTGAACTCGATCCTGTAACAAATCATTTGTGATCTGAATTCTTTATCATGAAATTATTTTTGATCATGAAACTGGCATTAATAGAAGCAACTTTACAATTGATAAGGTCTTTATTTCTTTTGGTAAATTCAGCATGACTCGCGTCATATAACTTCTTTGCTTGCATGTTTTAACTACACATCTCCCAGAAATTTACTTTTCCAAACAATACACAATAATATTAATTGTGATCAGATTCATGAACTTGGATTATTATATATTTGAAATATTCAAACATTTGAAGCAGTACAAGTTTACATAGCAGCATGCAACCAAACATTTTATTTAACACTGTCATGTAAGCTACTTCTGTCAACTTTCCAATACAGTACTACTGGGTACATTGTAATTTTTCTACTTTTTTCTTGTTTCTTTTTCTACAATGTTTGTTTATTTAGTATCATACCTGTAAAGTGTGTGTTTACCTTGTCCTTGTGGTAGGGAGAGGGCTAAATTAGCTAGGCTTTGCCTGCTGCCCTGAATCCCATTCACTTTGTGAATAAAATCTTGTATTAATAAATCACCCTTTTTAGTAACACAGAAGGTATTTAAATAGTCTTCCTACTAGAAATCTAGAATATTTCACTATGCATGATAAAATTAACACGGTACACCTGTTTGATTATAAAGTAAAAATAATAACGAGGGGCCCAGGGGCCTTATAGGTCACCTGAGTATCATGAAACAACTTTCCAACAATTGAATTGGTTTGTGTTTTAAATCAAAAGCCATGAAATTCACAATTTTAAAAGAGGCACTATTGCTTATCAGAACTATACACATATTTCAAAATTCTGGAAATTTTATCCTAATTTTTTTTTCATCATAAGTGGTTGATTAATACAAAAAGCAAATTACAAAGCAATGATTTATTTTCAGACTAAGTACCCCCAACCCCCACCGGAAAATTTTTTTAAAGAATTCAAGCATTTTCACTATATGTAATCATTATAGAACCCCATTCTAACAGCAGAACCCCTGACCCTGGGGCTTTGGAATTCACAAATCTGAAAGAGGCATCATTTCTCATCATAACTATGTACATAGTTGACTGGTTTAATACCCATGAGCAGAGAAGAAGATTTTTTAAGGAATAAATGTATTTTCACTATATAATCAATAGAGCCCCATCCTACCACTAGAACCCCTGACCCTGGGGCCATGAAATTCACAAATCTGAAAGAGGCAACCTTATTCAACATAACTATGTATTTGGTTTGTTTAATAAATACCCAGGAGCAAAAAAGAAGATTTTCAAAGAAATAATGCATTTTCCTATATAATTTATATAGCCCCACTCTAGCACCTAAGAACCACTCAGTGACCCTGTTGCCATGAAATTCACACTTTGGAAGGGTAGCCTTTTTAACATAACTATTTACTTGTTTAGTTTATTTAATGCCCAGGAGCAGAGAAGAAGATTTTCAACGAAATAATGCATTTTCACTATATAATCTATTTAGCCCCACCCTAGAACCCCTGATCCCAGGGCCATGAATTGCAAAATTTTGGTAAAGGACTCAATGCTGATTACAATCATGCAAACAGTTTGGCTGCATGATGTCCAGGAGTGAAGAAGAAGATTTTTAAAGATTGCATTAATTTTAGTGGTTTTGGCCCCACCCCTCAGGCACCAAGGGGACAATTTTTGTTCCCCTTCACCCATAGATGCTATACGCCAAATTTGGTTGAAATTGGTTGAGTGGTTGCACAGAAGAAGCTGAAAATGTTCAAATGTTAATGCACAACACACAACGCACGACGACGGATGAAAATGGATAGAAATAGGTCACTTGAGTTTACTCAGATGACTAAAAAGGCATTTTTTATTAAGTAAACAAGTTAAGGAAATTGATGTGCATTTTTGTGATTATGCAAAAAGTATGGAAGATATTGGCGCATATTTTATTATAAGAAATACAAATCAAAAGCCTTGGGTCTTACTTTCATTATTAGTGTTTCATCTGCACCACTTCTTGCTTTATCATCTATTTCTCTAAATAGCTTTTTATACACTTCATTAAGAACTCTGCCATGAGATTTCAATTCAGTTAAGTTGTTCTGACAGTTGCTGTGACAGCCACAGTCTCCTTCCAGGAAACCTTCAACAATAAAGTTATTATAATTATAGTTACTACAATCACTGACGATGGGAAAATCTTAATTTGAGAAATACACTAAATACACAAGCTTTTAACAGAATCAAACGATATTCTGATATTAACATTATGGAAGCAAATTCATTTCTTTTGTGTCATATAAGACGAGAATAAAGTTTCATTTTGGGAAAGACCTAGCATGTATTGGAAGAACATGTAAAAAGATTTAAGCAACTTTCGATAAATTAGAAAATAAATGAATGTGAATCAGTGATAATTCTGAAAAAAAGTCATCTTAGAATATAACTTAGGGCTAATTGAAACGGGGACCGTTACAAATGTTCTCCAAACCCTCCCCAACCCCCCTTTGGTGTTTTATTTCTGTAAGCTGGCGATATCAATAAATAAAACAAACTCCGACCTGTCAATTTTTTTTTCGGAGAGCTAGTTCTGAAGCTAAAGAAATTCATACATTTATGACTTTGACTCATCAATAATAGCAGCCACATAGCATCGTTTTTGAAAGTGGGGGGAGGGGCAGTCCGAGAATTTTGTTTTCGACTTACCTAAAAAATGTTGACAAGCAAAAAAAAATAATAATTGCCCAAACTTGAAAATCCTTCTTCGTGTGTGTGTGTGTGGGGGGGGGGGGGGGGGGGGGGGGGGGGGGGTAGAGGCCAACTTTTTTCAATGCCAACTACTAGTACTTTCAGTAACAATTTTTTTTATATTCATTATTACATTTCCCTATTATCACTTTCCTTTAGTATCAAGTGGGGGGGGGGGGGCAACCAGCCTTTCAATGAACTATTCCAATAGTAAAAGTAATATTTGCAAGCCCCCCTGCCCCCCTCCCCATCCCTGTTGCTACGTGCCAGAATAGACCTTTTCAAAATCTTTTGGAAGCCATTTTATGTTGACTTATGACTTAGTGGTTACTAGCTATGTTTGTTATTGAAATGCACTCTCAACCACTATTGATATAATTATTTCAATAGTGGTTTTATTTCAATAGTGGTTACTAACTATGTTTTCTATTGAAATGCACTCGCAACCACTATTGGTATAATTATTTCGATAGTGGTTTTATTTCAATAGTGGTTACTAACTATGTTTTCTACTGAAATACACTCTCAACCACTATTGATATAATTATTTCAATAGTGGTCGTATTTCAATAGTGGTTGCAACACAGCTATACTATGTAAACAGTATCATATGCAAAAACTTTCGTCAGACATACCTCCAGATATACTGGGTCCCACGTAAATGAAGCAGTCATCTGAAAGAAAATAACACATAATCAAAGACGTTAATTTGCCCGATTTATGAACATTAATTTACACTGTGCCCCATGGGCATTTTTACTTTTGACATAACAAATGAGATAGAACTTCCGTTTTGACATTTTATTAGCAGGGTATAACCTGTCTGTAAAGTTAAGCGAGGATTCAATTTTGGTATTACATTGTACATGTAATATAAGCGTTAGTTCTGGACCCGCCATCATATATAAGCATTATGACTACTTTTCTTAAGGCATATTTTTATTGATAAATAGGATGTTAGGAAGGCAGTATGTAAAACATCAAGCACATAAAAAAATACCTTTATATTTAATGCATACAAAATTTCTGCTAATAAAGTACATGTACAAAGTAAAAATGAAAATTAAAAATTCTCTTTTAAAAACAACATTTGTTTATATTCGATAATTCTCATTCCATAAATACATGTACAATGATTATCTTTCTTCCCGTTATTTCCCACAACGGCATCACTATAAATTATGTTAATTTACATTCGGAGTGAAGTCAAAAATTTGCTGCTTATTAATTTTGCGAACACTTACCCATCGTACTTCTTGTAGTGTACTGTTGATTGTTTCAACACTGTTGACAAATGTGTTTATGACGTCATAGTAACTGAACGTAATAATTAACTAACGTCACTTCCGAGTTCTTCGATTAAAGGAAGCGAGTCGCCCATGTGTCGCAGTGGTTGGAGCGTCTGCTCTAGAGTCGCGATGTAAGACGTCATGGTTTCAAATCCCACTGTGGAGACTGGTCCTTCGAATGAGACCGTATAAACCGAGGTCCCGTGTTGCAGTAGGTACTTGGCTACTGCTGGCACAAAACAAAGATCCCTTGCCGCTCAATGGCCGAGCACAGGACAAAAATTTGCAGCTCTCCACCGGCAAGTGTTCGGGTTTCCAAATGAGTGAAAAATTCTCGAGACGGACGTTTAACAACATACAATCAATTAGTCGAAAGAGACGAAATTATCAGTATATAGCCCCGCCCTAATGCATCTTTGGTTTATTTAACTTCGCAAAAGCAGTGAACAGACCTTTTTAAAACAAAGATCAATGAGAATATAAAAATAAATATTTATAAGAATATGTATTACAGAAGAGGAATTAAAAATGCATTTGGGGCTAATACGTGAGCTAGCTTTCTAAGTAGTAAGTAGCTGCAGAACTGTAGCTCTCTGCTTGAGAAAATTCGGACAGATAAAGCAGCTTGATCTGTCCGAATTTTCTCAAGCAGAGAGCTACAGTTCTGCAGCTAAGTAGTAAGTACATGTAATCAGTTGTCAAACCCCCTTCATTCTCCGACAAGTAATGCTGCGACCAGCCTGCGCCTGTTTGGCCTATGGAAGGGCGACCGCTTCATGTTATAGTACAAAATATATTCAGGATATGTGCAAATGTTACATTAAAAATTTAGAATTCAGAGAATTTGCAAGGGGGGAGATTGTTATAGTTATATAGTTTTAAATTCTCTGAATTCTAAAACTTTAATGTAACAGGTTCCTGTAAAGTGTTACGCAGTCCAGGTAGGGAAGAAAAGTCACGGTACATTTGACCATGTCCAATGATCATGTTGACAGTTTGCTTGTTGATAGTATTTTCATCAGGTAATTATTTAACTATTCATTTTATGTATTTGTCTTTTATTACCGCGAATACATTATAATAACTGAAAGTTATGAATGATCTACTGACTACGGATTTGAAAGCGATGAAAAAACGGTACGAGGGTGTCAGGATGTGACTAATATCCCAACATTGCCAAAAAAAAGCAGTCTTCCAAGAAATTATGAAAAATAAAATCCTTGCTTTTTTAGGCCTAATATTTGTAACATTGGAACATGTATTTAACTGTTCACGTTACCTTCTGTAAATGAAGTTTGATTTTTATTAATGTCTCATTTTCTAATTATACAGATTGTGCATGAAAAGAACATTCTTTATCAAGCATTTGCATTTAGCTAATTCAATCTGTAAATTTTACAATAGTTCCATATTGATTCTTCATTGATTATATATTCATTTCATTGAGTTTTCTCCTTCCTTAAATTTTATTGTAAAAATGAACACATATGATTTCAGATGATGGGACATTAATTGGAATAGATAAGAACCAAAAAAGTACTTCAGTGTTTCATTAAAGCCATATATGGCGTATGTACAGTGAAAATTAGTAGACTAAAATTATTAGAACTTATTGTTTGTATCATAACTTTATAAAAAGATAGAACTTTTCTGTAAATTACAAAATCTAAGTCAATTACGTTTCAAAGATATCACAATTTAATTTGGATTCTCGGAATTTTCTCCGACTCGGAAGAAAATACAAAAGATTTAAGGGGGATGTACGGTCACTTTTAGTGCAGTGAGAGCAAAATGTAAACATTTCTTCAAATGGCTAAAATACATTATATTTTGATCAAATTTTAAGTCTTTTTGATAAAGATACAATAAATATGCATAACCGAATGCATGTTGTGCATATATAATCTATACTTTTGCAGAAAAATGCTTTTGATATGCTCCTTAGAACTGCGCAGCTACAGAATTCAGCAGAGCTTTAAAAAATCCAAAAAAATATGCGAACTGTGCATTAATGTTCTCTCTACAACCATTTGTTGAGAAAATGTCTAAATTTTGCACTTTTAAATGATAATTTCAAGTTCAAAACAAGGTACCGTTGTCTTCAAAAAGAGTGTAAAGAACCATGAAAGTAGTTCATGGATAGCAGCACGTGGTCTATTTTTAGCACAGAATCTTGTTTTCCAGACCTCTTCTTAATATGGAGGGGCATAACAATCTTTAAATGTAGAAGAGAATTACAGTTGCAAAATATTTCAAATAATATGAACACTTTCAAAAGAGGAAAGGTGTTATAGTGTGGCCTGAAGTATATTTATTTAAGAAATGAATTTAATTTTTGAAGATTCATGAGGTTATGAACTACGACGCCTCACGCCGGCATATTTCATGAAGCGCGTTAGCGCTTCATGATAAATGTGCTGGCGTGAAGCGTTGTAATTCATATATCTCATGAATCTTCAAAAATTAAATTCATTTCTTATATTTACATTACTTTTCTGATGACTTGCCATAAATTTACGCCGTTCAACTGTCATTTTTAAAATAAAACAGTGTGCACTATATTTTTTGACGTCAAGAGCGGTATTATGACGTAACAATGGAGATATTCATGCTTATTCGTGATACATACCTAATGTAGTTCATGAGAAAATATACTGCATTTTATTTTGTAAAGAATCATAGGGGAAATTTATTGGAAATGTAAATATTTAGTATTATTATCGAACAGTTGTTAAATAGTTTACGTATTGATATAAAAATTTTTTTAACTCTTTGATTCCAGGTAAAAATGAGCACCATCAAAGTTAAAAATTAAGAGTTTGTAAGTTTGCCACAGATTAATTACATTATCTCTTAAAATTTTAATTATCACCAATAAAACACAAAGAAACATAAAATCGATACTCGTGAATGACCTTGTTTTAGTACCTACTAGTACGAATTTAAGCGTTATCAAAAAGTTCGCGAAATATCTCTATATCTACAGAACCACAATGCAGATTAGATAGCCAAACACAAGTTCTATAAATAGCATATGCTGAAGTTTTGCTCCTTGTTTGTGATGTCACAATCTGAAAATGACGTCTTTATTCAGGTACTTTTGACGAAAAATGGTTGTCTCAGTGGAACTCGTTCAACAAACGACTATAATATTTATGGCACATGTATATCTTAGAAATGCCTTTGAAGTAGCGTATAAGAATTTGTTCACAGTTTATTAAATGGCTTCCTATAATTTCAATCAATGATTGGATATCGTTTTAGTGAAGGAAGGCAGATGGTTAAATATGATACTTGTTATGTTGCCCGGTGAAAGCAAGTTTGAAAAGGGATGTGTTTTTAATAAAGCAATATGCTATCAAAGACCTCCATTTTACACTTTGAAAAATACTTGAATATTTCAACAATAATATAAATATCAAATTCCCAAAGATATTGTTTACTTTTTGATCAACCCTCGTATACTGTGTCAAATAAACATGCATTTACAATTTTCATTACAGAGGAGCAACAGTTGAAAAGGCATGAAATCATTCAGAGTGGGTTAGGAGATTTAATGAATAAATTTTTTTTTTCTATTTACCCATATTTTCAAAATTACAATTGTACTAAGTAAAGAGAAAAAATCAACATATAAACATCTTAAAAATGATGTTTGGTGGTCCTCTCAACTCAGGGAAAAATTATTGGGTCCGTATTTATAGGTGAGAAAAAAATTCCTTAAAATTCAAAAAGAATTGTTGACGGAAGAAAAAGAAAAAAATATCGTGTAATGGGATGTTGAAAAAATGAGTTGGGCCATTTCTAGGCAGTAGATCGGGAGAGAGGGCAACAAAATATTTTTATAACAAGTGGTCTTATAAGGCTAGTACATGTTCCATCAAATACTTAGTAATGCAAATTTTTTCAGTCTTTGACACTATTTTGAAAAACAAACATAGGATATTCGGGGGGGGGGGGGGGGGGGGGGGGGGGTTAGCAATCACTTTTTTTTTGCGATGATAGACATAGCATATGCAATGGACCTTTCTTTGCAAACATTGTGCTCGCTTCTAAATTTCATAGAAACAACTCATTATATTTTATCAAGCTTCGTATGTTCTATGAGCGAGAGCTTACAACGTTGTCAACTTAATGAGACATGATGCGTTTTTGTGTCCAAACATGACCCCATACAATGTGATGGTCATTGCAAACATTCTAGCTTTTTATGTGAGGTGACTATGAGGAAATCCTATAACTGCCTATTTTTTCTATAGATAGATCTAACTTCTAAACAAAATAGACATATGTACCAACTTTTCGAATGTAAGACATGTAATTACAATTTATTTTTCATGCACTGCATATTGTTTAACATTTTCAAATTAAATGCTAAGCATCCTCCTTGCAGTGCCCCATTTGAAAATAACTTATATCGCCACAGAAAAAAGACCCACCGTAAACACATATGTTTAGGACATTTTAATCCTTTTTTATTGAGTTTTAAAGAAACCAACAAATTATCAAGACTTGTTCCATAAAAATTAAATATAATCATGGTAATAAACGGATCTATCCACAGCAGATATATGCACATGCCAACCATGTGCTTAGTGGAATAATACTAACGAGGAATTTCGAGTTGTAAACAGAACAGTTTTTCCCGATTTGCTGGAATGAGGTTAAAATCGCGTTTTTTCATTAATCAGACGTTGCGATGCAACAAATAAAAGTAGTAAGTAATATAACCTAATGATTATTACTTAGTAATTTCTTGTCTTGATGTTATTATGGTCGCATTTATTCTAAAATCATTGTTATTCGAACTCTGTGTGACAGAGGAATGGCGGACGAAATAAACACGTGGCCTCAGGAAGACACCCATATGAAAAATCAAATTTTCAAGAATTATGGATAATGACAAGAAAAAAACGAAACAAATGATTGTAGCCATATTATCAATGAATCAAACTAACTCCATTTTCAATGCATTTTTCATCACATGAATGCTGTAGCTGCGCAGTTCTAACATGATTAATTTTCTTCTAATTAAGACAAA